TCTTTGTCCACACAGATTCCAGAAGGACCCGAAGACCAGGCAAGACCTTGCTGGGAGTCTCGTGTACAACAGGAAGGGAGATGTTCCATCACGGGCTGAGTCTGGATAGCGGTGGTCTTGCTGCTGGACCGTTCAATGGGACTCCCTGGTGTCAGTGAATAAGATCCGCCTCCACCTCCCAAGCTGCTGGTTTGTGAGGCTTAACTGAGCGAAGACATCCACTAGGACACTCACGATGAGAGGTCTTCTGCCCCAGCCCCTTCAACTATGGAGGAAACTGGTGTCCAAATGTGCAGACTCAGTTTCCCCTCCAGGGAAGACTGCTGGGTCCCCAACATCTCTTGGGTGACCTCCATGAACAACCACACCCAGGGATCTCAGCACAGCACTCCCACACCTCCTGATGAGTGCTTCCCTGGGGCTGCCATACCCCTGGACCACTAGTGGTGCATGAGGACCTGGACCAGTGGGGACAGCCGCAAGGGTCGGGCTGGGGTCTACCGCCTCATACAGAAGTCTCCTATAAACCGCTCCAGAAGCCCACCTTCTCCAGGTGCACACACTGCCACTTGCTGCTGGCCACAGCCCCCTCCACACCAACTGTAGTGGTTGCCTAGATATGACGGTTTGCTTTTTTTGGAACCAGAGACCAACAGGCCCTTGTGCTTGTGAGGCAAGCGGCAGCACCAGTAAGATAAATCCCCAGCAGATAGTTTGCTTCTGATGAGGAGCAGGGGAGGGGTGTCAATGTTTTGGGTGACTCTGGGGAGTCACAGCCCAGGGATTTACTGATATTTTCAAAAGACAGGAGCAACACTGGGAGGTCCCGAAGGACTTGCTTTTCAAAGTAGATTTCTTTATTCACTCATTCCCAGACACATGCCAGACACTTAGTGTGCACCGGGAACCTGCTCAGGGTGTTCACATTGCACTAAGTACAGGTGGTAGAGTTAAAAGGATCCGGGTTCAAATCCAGACTCCACCATGAGCCAGAGGCATCATTTAGGACAGCAGCCAATCCCATTTCTACGCTCCCCTGACCACAGTCATGACCTAACAAGGATCTGCTCAGGATTAAGCATTTGTCTTGGGTCCAGTCCACAGTCTCTCCACCTTGTGGGGGTATCCTGGGGGGCAGTGGGATGTCCTCTGACCCCAGTCGGGAGGTACCAGCCTCGCCCAGCAGAAGCTCTTGGACAGGAGCAGACGATGTCCCACTGTCACCACCACTGTCACCACCACAGCACGTCTGGGACAGGTGGGGCATAGACTTGCTCAAAGACCTCTGCTCGGATGGGACGGTCACCAGGATGTGGGCTACAGCCAGCGGGTCACTCTGAGCCTCTGGGTGACAGACACCTGTCACCTCACTCATCTGCTTCCTATCCACTCAGCAGCCAGAGGATTTTCTTTCAAAAAGCAGCTCTGACCCTGCCATTCCCCGGCCGCAAACCCCAAACCTTCCCCTGAGCAGAAGCTATGCTCCTCAGAGCGCTCTCCGTGCCCCACCCCTCGCCTGCCACATGGCCTCCAACTTCTTCAAAGGTTGTTCATTACCACTGCAGCCCCTCTGCCCCTGCCTGGAACTCTCTGAAAGCACAGATCCTGCCCAGCTTCTTCCCAACCTGGTGGCCTTGCTGCTCTGCAGGAAGCCGGTCCCAGCCTGAACTATACGCTGCAGCACTGGGCTTGTGGCGTGTCCTGTACCCCAGCACATCCCGTGCTGCGTGCTCACTCCTGCTGCCCCTCCTGTCCGCGATGAAAGCCCCAGGACAGCGCAGATCTCTAGCCCCTGCACCTGGTGCGGAAGACACTCTTAGTAACACCCGTCGGCCAGTGGCGGACTAGGAGAGACTGGGGGCCTGGGGCTGGAAGAGGACGACTGCAGGTGCCCAGACAGACTCACAGCTTGGCTTTCTCTGCAGAGGGCTGGGAGTGCATTAGACATTTGCGGGAGGTTAGTGAGTAAGATGTAAGGCATGCCTCCGCGCCACCGTGAACCAGCCCTCCTGGTGCCCAACATTCAGCCTCTTCCCAGCACAGAGGAAAGGAAATATTGACTCCAGAAATTAAAAGGAACATTATTAAAATTTCAAAAGCAAATATATGATGTCCAGTAACCTGCTCCCTGGACAGCTCTCTCGGATGACTGCATTAATCTGCTCAAGCATCGGCCCCTCCTGGTCCCGCAGGAGCTCTTCTCACAGACATGGGGGCTTCCTGCTGGCTGTGGCTTGGGCAGCGAGAGGACACCTGGGTCAGATTGTCCTGACTTCTGCTCTCACACTGCCCACGCCAACACCTGTGGCCCCCATGCACCTACAAAGCACATCCTTCTCTACGGGGGTGGGTTCCCATGTCATGCTGACTCCCTCCCTACGCGTCCAGCACTTTTGTGACCTCCTGAGCCTCAAGGAGACACTGAGAAAGGAAGACTGCGGTAACACCACAGGGACCCCATTGCACTCTTGGCACCCAACCTCGCTGCAACAGGCAGAATTCTGAGCTTGCCCATGCGCCGCTCCATTTCCTGCCAGTTTCTAATATAAAGGTGCCTTAGGACAGCGTCGCGGGGTCAGCGGCAGGGCCCCTGCCCACACCCATCACCTGTCTAATGAAAGTGGCCCAAGGGTCCCCCCCTTGACACCTGAGATATTCGATCCCCTGAGGGAGGATCTGTGAGCAGACTGTGCCCCTTCTGGGTCACTCTGCAGGGCCCTGTGCAGCTCTCACCACCCGGAAGGCTGCCCGCCATGCCACCATGCGAAGGAGTGGAGAAATTATTTGAAGAGTTTGTTTTGGAGAATCTGGTTGAAACTACAGGAATGTGGCACTTTCGTGATTCACTTAGGGGACCCTGAGAGCTCACCGAGTGCCAGGCCTAGAACAGCCAACAGCAAATGAGGGAGCGTGGACAGGGAAAAAGAACAGTTTGTCTGTTCTCAGTCCTCAGTCAAAGGCCCAGAGCAGATACCACAGTGCGGGTGTCTTCTCCACAATCCGCGAGTCAAGTCTAGACCTCTCTACGCTGTGATCAAAATATAATTCCAAATTCACTTTTAAATGTATTTTATTTTGGAGTTATCTTCAAAATTGCAAGTGTCTGCACAAGCCTTTCCAAAGATCTCCCACGCACCTCTTACCCAGATCACGGATGCTTAACTTTTCCCTCTGTGTTCTATGTGCACACAAGCGTGCGTGTGCATGCACGTGTGCACCTGTGTCTAAATATTTTCCCCGCAGGCTGCACACATGGCCCCTCTCTCCACCACTCGGCATCTTTGTCTCTCCCACACTCTCAGAGTAGTTATAAGGTCTCGGGCACCGAACATTAATAAGATATTTTATCTGAACTACAGATCATATTCACTTGTAGCAGGGGGCTCAATAATGACCCTAATGGAGCTTTTTCTTTTCCTGCAGGATCAGTCCGACGTGGCTTTTGCACTCAGTGGATTTGTCTTTCTAGTACCGCCTTTCGATTGGACAGACCCTGTGACCTCCAGACTTGTTATTTCACGGCCTGCCCGTCACGTGGATTCCTGATGCTTTCTCAGTCATATTCCTGAATGACCACTTTGTGGAGAGTAAATGTCCCACACTATCACCCACCCAGGATCTGACAAAACGAGCCTCATCTCAGCCTGGGAGACTCCAAGTCCTGAGCAGAGCTCTTCCAAGTACTGGTCCAGCAGTCCATTAACTTCGGTCACTGAACTCCTGTCTTGGGAAGAATCCCACACTCAGGGCTCATGCACCCTCCAGCACGTGTCCTTGTGGGTTCTCTACAGCCCTGTTATATACAAACGGCCCAGGTTCCAGAGGGAGGCGAATGAGGGGCCCAGTCTCCTGTGAGGGCCACAGAGATGCAGTTCTGCTCCAGCAGGCTGACCCTGCCCTCTGGAGCCAGGGCCGGCGTTCAGTAGACAGAACTGCAACGCCCGCGCTGGAGAGCTGCTCCGAAGCTCTGGGCAGGTGGAGGTGTCAGGAGGACAGTTCCGGGGAATCCGGAGCTGACAAGGACGCCCCCAAGGACATTCACCCCCTGGAAAAGGCTCCACCCAGGGGTCCCTAAAGCCGCCCTGTCCCCTAAGAACTCCTACCCCCTGCTCCACTGCAGATAGCATGAGGCCCCAGCAGTAGATGATGAATGTACCCTCATGAGTTATTAACAACGTTGGTAATGGTGAGATAAAAATAATCACTGAAACACTGTGAGACGCCTTACACTGCAATTCAATGAAATAATCATTGTTATTGTAATAGTGAGTTAGAAAATTACTTTATGTTAATAAAGCAATGAGTAAAGTACAATTCTATAACTGCGTGTGTGTTTCCGGCCTGGCTGGATGATTTGGGGAGCAGCACTTGGTCCTGGACATTAAGCATTAAGAAGGCAAGTGCGTGAATAGGTTAAACTGTTCATACTTCCACACAGCTGCAATGAGTCCATGGGCAGGAGACCCAGGTGTTGGCCGGCACACGACAGCTGATAGGGTCAGGAGACTGGATCTGCACTGCCAGAGGAGATGCTGGAGCCGAAGAAGAGCCATCCGGGGTCGGACGTCAGACACTGCACTGCCCAGGGGAGCAAGTTAGGCGAGAGGAAGAACCCACTGCCTGCAGAATAGGGAGACCTATGCTGAGGGCACCCAAGGGTCCTCTGCTCCCCTCCGCAGCCTCTGCAGCCAGCCAGCTCCCCTGCCGCCAGCACACAGGGGCAGCACTGTGACACAGAGAGAGGAGGAGCCGCAAGCCCGTGGTCCAGCCCGGCAAATACTGAAGCTAAAACCTGCACCCAAGACCCCAAGCTTCTATGCCCGTGCTAAAGTCAGGGAAAGAGCAAGAAAAGAGTTGACTGAAAGCTCTTTAGGTAAAGGAAAAAGGAAATGTAAAGAAAACCCGCACGTCTAGCCACATAAGACAGGAAACAAGTTCAATGAGACACCTACAAGATTAACCTTTTAATACAGAATTAACCTGGTGTTAATGTGCTCGGCTTTCAGGTTTCTGCGATTCTACAGCTGAGATGCCGATCCGATTGTCCTGCTGTGTCACAGAGTGGACGCCTTTGGAAGTGGAACTGTAAAATGCTGCGTCTTGTGTTTGATCCCCTCACATCCCTTTTCTCTCAGGAAAAATGAGGCGTGGCCTGGTGCATTACCTTTTAATGAAATTTCAGTGTATTCAGGAGTATTTTCAGCACTCCACAATTTTGCAGAGATGAAAATATAAAGGCTCTCAAAAGACTTCAAAACTAAATTAGCTTGCAACATATGTTCAAGATATATTTCTTTTTGACTCAGTTTATCTATTTTTAAAAATCCAAAAAGTGTCAAAGGAATTTCCTATCTCTCATTTTTCTGTTCTTTATAACTCAACTTCTGATGCTCAGTATGTGCTGGACACTGGGCTGGGTGCCTTACAGGAGTGACCTTATTCCATTTAGCAACACTAAGAGGCTGGCGGCATTGTTATTTCTATATTATTTTGTTTTGTTCTCGCTTCGTTTTTTATTTTTGATTGACCCAGAATAACTGTAGATATTTGGGGGGTACAGTGTTAAGTTTTGACACATGTATACAGTATGATCAAAGGAGGGTAAGTAACTTACCCATTGTCAAACATTTATCATTTCTTTTGTGGTGAGAAAAATTCAAAATCGTCTCTTCTAGCTATTTTGAAATGCATAATACATTCTTGCTAATTATAGCTGATGGAATACTATATGGCCATTAAAAAGGTGAAATCCCGTTATCTGTGACAGCACGGGTGAACCTGGAGGACACCACAAAATGCCATAAGCCGAGCACAGAGGGGCAGGTTCCACATGGCCTCGTGTCACCTAGGGGCATAAGTGCGATGTCCTCAGGCACCATCGGGTTACTCTTAGTTCAAGGCAAGAATCACAGCCTCAGCAAGGACGAGTGGCCCCATCTTGAGACAATGAGCTGGAATCTGCAGCCCAGCTCTCCTATCCTGATGTGATACAACTTGGTCTCTGGTACCTAGGCTTCCAGCACCACTATCTGCAGCTACCACTGGCTTTTGGAAGCCATCAGGCTGGCTAGGGTCCCCCAAGTCTAAAAGCAAGAGGCTGTCGGGATTATGCGTCTTCCTGGAGGCCCTGGGGCATCTGTTTCCCGCTCATTCACACTGTCCCAGGATGTGGCTCCCTGCTGCTGCAGGACAGCAAACATGGTGCCCGGACCATGAGAAGGGCTGGGAGCGCTTCCCAGACCTCACGGCTGCCCGCATCCCTTGGCTTGTGGCTCTTCTCTCCATCTGCAGGCTCAGGGATGTCTGCTCTGCTCTGCTCTCTGCCCGTCTTTCACTTCTACTCTCAGCACACTCTCCCACCTTCTCAAGGACTCTGTGGCTGCACGGAGTTCGAATCACCCAGGATATCTCCCTTCTCAGGCCCCTCAATTTATTTACATCAGCAAAACCCCTCCTGCTTGTGAGGTTGAGACAGATGGGCAGTGCCTGAGACTTCCCTTTTTCCTAAGGCCGCTGAGGGGGCCTCATTTGTCCAGCAACTGCCACACCAGTCCCCCACTCCCTTTGTCCCTCTTTGTGGCCTGGTGCTCACTCTCCTCCAGGCCACTCAGACACAAGTGCAGCTCAGCAGGCAGCTGTCCACCCCTGCATTCGCCTCAGAGATGGCTGCACCCTGAGGTGCTAAGTTCAGGGAGGGCGGGATGGATCCGGGAATGGCACCCCAGCCTCCTAAATTCCAATCTCTGTGGTGAGCACAGCTCCCTTCCTGAAGATTCCCTGGCCCCAGCCACACCATGGTCCCCAGGGGCACAACTGCATCCATCCAGCAGCTCATTGTCACACTCACTGAATCCCTGCCGGGACCCTGGACCCTGGACCCTCTTGGGCCAATCCCAGCCTGGACCAGTCGGCAGGCCTGTATCTGAACAAATCCCAGGCTGAACTGGAAGGGGTTGCGGACCATGGCTGAGATGCTGGCAGAATCCTCACACCCATCCTGGTCAGTCCAGGAGGGTTTTCTCCGGTGTACTGAGCCCTCCTACCTCCTATGCGGCAGCACAGGTCCTGTCAAAATGAAGACCTGCTTTAGTATTCTGGTAAATCTGTCTCCGATCTATTTCTCAGGTGGTGTGGGCTCAGATGGCCTTGTGAATCTACTCGTTTCTTTTCCTGAGCAGTGTAGATGGAGAAGGTATCTCAAAAGAAAGAGCAATGAACACAAGAAGCCGCCAGCTCCGATAGCTCCGTGGACCAACAGGAGAGACCAGAGTCTGTCACAAACCAATACCAGTCAGGGGCAACCAAGTGCAGCAGTGTTGGGGTCCAACAGGACTGGCGTCAGCTGGTGTTATCAGGGCTGCCAGCTGAGCCACACTTTGCCAATTCATGATTCTCCATCTGAATCAAGCAAAAGAACCCACAGCTGATTGGCAGAGAAAGTGGACTGATGGTGACCACTGTGAGAGAGCTATGAATTCATAAACTGGCTTTTCATATTAAAAGTCTGAGTCTTCCTCTTAGCCCACAGGGGTTGCCTGAAGAGCCAGCAGTCGGTGTGCAGGAAAGGAACAGCTCCCCACACCACTGTCACAGTGGCAGTCTCAAAATCCGTGACTCTAGGATGTCTTGGGTGGCAAGACAGTGGTGCAGCTTAGGGCAGTGTGACTCACATACAAAACTTCTACAAAGGTAAAAATTAATCTATGGGAAAAAACAAATTTCCCTTTCGTCGAAGGGCTGTTCCTGGTAGAATGTCTCCTTCCCTTGTTGCTAGACCCCTGCTTGTGTCTGTGCTCTCCACTCCACTGTTACCTGCATCGCCTCTCACCCCTTCAAGCTGTGTGTTCAATAAATAGTGGCAAGCTTCAGGGGACAGTGTCTTAGCCTGATAAGAGCTCTGACCATCCTGGGCCCCATTTACGTGGTAAAGATCTTGTCTTCCATTATCCTGGCCGTACCTTTTGTCAGGTGATTGGAAGTTTGCACAGCTTCCAATAGTGGACTTCTCCTGTGGCAATTATTCTGCCACCCACATGTTTCCTGAATGGCTCTTCTCAAAGTCCTGACCACCAGCCCGCTCCCTTTCCAAGGCACACAAGCTATTTCAGTCATCCTGAAGTCCATACCTCTCTTCTTGACATTACTGTTTTCATCCACTTGAAATTTTACTCCTTTCGGAATACAAGTTCAAAGAGAAAGAGGAAGAGGGTGAGAGGTAGAAGAGGAAAACAAGAATGTGAGAGGGAAGGAGAGAGAGATCAGCAGAGTACCTTTCAGGACTTCCTATGTATTGAACCAATATCTTCATTGATTCATTGATTCACTGACCGTTTTCATCCAAGTCTCAGTTGAGAACATCAGGGGGCTCAACATTTCCTTCAATAAGAGAGAAATATCCTATCCACTGCCTACCCTCTTACGACATTAGCATACTGCCACGAAGAGCTATGCTGTGGTACCCACAGTGCGCCTGCTGGAGCTGAGCCCCAGAATCCATCCAGGGAGAAGGCAGAGCAGGGAGCAGTGATCCCAGCGCCGGCAGCATCAGCATCACCCAGGAGTTTGGTGGAGGGGTCTGTCCCATCCAGACCTGCTACAACAGAAACTCAGGAACCACGAGAAACCAGTGCCAATCCCGTCCATTTTAGGTTGCCCATCAGTAAAATGCCCAGAGTAATTGTGACATCAGGACCCTGGGTGCAGACAAGATTGATGAATCTCAGTCTGAGTTAAAGGAATGAGCAAATGTACACTGACTTCGTGAGACACCGGGGCTTGAGGAGGCTGCATCTGTTGAGCCTGCCTCTGCTTCCTGTCCTCGCCTACTGCCTGCCCTATTGTGGGACCCCCTGACCAGAGGGTCTCTCCCTGAGATGGAGCCCCACTTCCTGAGGACACAAACACCACAGTCCTGGTCTCAAAGGAGCAGATCTTTTTCCTTGGTCCACCCCAAAGACCATAGAAATAGCCTTTCAGTCCATTTTTATGGGCCCATTTTTGAATCACATTTCCATTCTTAAGTCATTGAGATCAGAGGATGCCGCATGCAGTTTGATTGGGTCTGGGACACATCCCCCCACATGGTAGGGAAAAATGCAATTAACTTCTTCCAAACCTACTAAATGACTTTCTGAAGGAAATAGGAGATTATGCCTGTAAAACATATGGAACATGATAGATTTTTCAACATATGAATCAATTACTACAACTCTACTGCTGCTATCATTGCTAGTGTTGCTATCACTACTAAATGTGCATTCATCTATTTCTTGTTGCTATAACAAAACACTTGAGGTGGGACACGTATGAAGAAAAAAGGTTTATTTAGCTCACAATTCTGGATATTCAAGAGTAGGCAGCAGTGTCAGCACGACTACAGTGGCAATGAGGGCCAGTGATGTCACAGCGGTGAGAGTACACGTGAGAGAAAGTGATCACATCTAGAAACAGGAAGCCAAACAGGCTAGAGCCCAACAATCCCTTCCCAGAGAACACCCCAAACTGATCGAAGGACTTCCTACCAGGGCCTCATTCTTAAATATTTCAACTTTCAAGCACTGTCACACTGAGGACCACCCTACCAACATCTCAGTAGAAAATGTGACCAGAAGCTTCTGGAAATTTCCACAGGAGGGAATGTCTTTTGTGGGAGGCCTGGAAGGGGCCATCATTCCAAGATGAACCAATAAGTAAAACTTACTCTAAAGAAACACAGAAATGCAGGGAAGACGAAAGCTTTTGCAAAATGGAATTGAAGAGATTTTTCCCCCACAAGAACACAGATAGATGGTGGTTAAACCTACAACAGAAGATGGTATGAAGTCCCAACTGAAATTTTAGGAATTCTAAAAATCAACAAATGCAAGACTTGGCAATGAACTTGCTTTTGTTTCCATTTTCCTGCTGGAAGAAGGGAGAGGTGCATATGGATGTTTGTGTGTGTGTGTGTGTGTGTGCGTGCGTGCATGCGCGTATGTTCACATACACAGCATCTATTTGATAACACAAAAACAAGGCCCTTTGTCCCAAATGTCATTTTAAACATTTTATGTGTCCTTACACTGCAGTCCTAGCTAATGATCTTAAACAGGAAAACCATTACAAGTCTTCAATATATCTTGAGATTATTAGATCTCTAGAAAAGTAGTCTGGGGAAATCAGTAT